TTTTAATGACCTTTGATTCTTATCTTCTTAATTTTCAATTTATATATTAATGTCGATTTTTTTCTTTATGTTTCATGTTTACACTTTGTATTTATTATATTGACTACAAAGAATAAATGTTCTTGCTGATCATCATTTGCAGATCATCATTTGTTTTCAGATCATCATTTTTTTTTCGGATCATCATTTTTCTGATCATCATTTGCAGACATTTGCAGATCATCATGTAAACAAATGGCGTTCAGCGCTAAATGCTTTTTGTAGTTTATTCTATTCAAGGTATAAGAGAACGTCCAAAGAAAAAACAACATTTTATTTAGGAGCTTCAACATCTTACCTTCCTGCATCGCTAAACAATGTTGCTTTTTGCGTTCAAACCTGCTTGACCGCTAAAATATTTTACTAGAAGAATAAAGCACTAATTATAAGTGAAAAGATAACAACTGAAAAGAACTAAATGCCTAATATCATTTCAACTAAACTACAAACAGTTGAAAGGTATAATAAACTGGACAATGACATTAGACGATAGTAAAATTGTAACCACGTCAAGCTTCAGCTTGTGAAACGTGGTTAACTTAGTTTTACATTCTAGTGCTTTTCTAGTGTAAAAATATTTTAATAGGTTCAAACAGCAGCAAAAACAGAACTTGAAGAAAAGCTTTAGGTAAGCCGGCTATTGCGCTTTTTTAAAACGAAGTACTATATTGAGCAAAACCAGCATCAGATACAGTAACAACAAAATTTTTTTGTAGATGACATCTGGCAACAGTTCTTGAAAAAAGTGCAGCACTTTCTTACAGCTAAACTTTATCACATCTCTCGACACTACGAATAGCAGCTTACATGAACAGACTAAACAGTGTAAAGTTCGTGGGAAAGTCTCATTTAAACGACAATTTAAAATAGGCCTCTCAAACAAATTTTCTGAACATATATGTTTTTCGTCTCACTGAAAAAGCTTCACCTCGTAAAATTGTGTTTCTGATGAATAATAGTTTTTTGAAAAAACTTGAGGATTTTTGGAGCATCTAGTCGAAGAAAAAATCTAAAAGTATCTTTTCGAAAGACATTCGCTATTTCCCCTCTTGACAACTTGTAAATTATAATTTTCCTTTGGTGACGAAACGTTACAAAATTTTCTATCTAAGACAGGAACGACTAATAATTGAGCATAAAAAAAAAGATTTTCCTGTAATCAATCTTCTTTCTTACCACCAATTTCAAACGAAAAAAAGCTTATTATCAGTTTACCATATACTGCTATCAATTGTGAGATCAGAAGGTTTTGAAGAAAATTGAAAAGTGACTTTAACACTTGTCAAGTGATAAAATTACTTCCGCCTCTAATTTGTAAGAGTTAAGGTTGAAAAAAAAAACAACAAAAATTTTCTTTTGAATTCTAATTATTTACGTGACAACACCTTTAAGAATACACAATCCGCTCAATTTTGTTGAATTTTTCCGATAAATGCAACAAACCCACATAAAATTAATATTTATCATCGAACCAACAGGTAATATGGCATCAAAAAAGTAACAACTTCAAAATATTTTGACAGACAATTTGTTGCTTTGAACGGCCTTTCTAAAACCATTCGCTATGTACGTTTCCTGACTTTCTTTATCTAAATAAAGTGTATTATGCCTCATAATCGTGTTTTTTGTGCCAGTCGTTGTAACATTCTCCGTTGAGACAGTTTCGCAACACCGCTTATACTATGCAAACCTTAACCTGTTCCTTTACAAAATATCTTTACCAGTGTGAAAGTCTTCTTCAGACAAAATAAAAATATTCAATGGCGGAAACATTCCTTTTTTTATAACGATTCCCAGCTTCTCGGCTGTCGAAAGATTAAACGTACACCAAACAGTAGAATGGCATCGCTTTTTTCAGTAGAACTTTTACCAAAAATATCAAATTTTTGCGCTGTTCTAGGCTAACTTAATTAAGCTGCATTTTCACGCTGTTAAACAACAATGAATTTTAAAAGATATATCAGGAGAATGTACACCTGACAAGAACCTTCGTTTTGAAAAAATATTTTCACGTCATTTTGAAATCGGCGTTTCGTTATTGAACCAAATGGTATATTACCAAAGTAGCTTCTTCTGTTGCACTATAAAACACCTAGGTTGCTGAAATTTTTACATTTTAGTTATATTTTTTTAAAAATTCTTTATATTTGAATTACTTCGCTACACTCTTTTGCCCTAATTGAGTATTTTATTTGGGTATAAAATTATCTGTAAACAATTACTTTTTTCTTTGTTTTTCATAAGAATATTTTACATTACACCGCTAAAATGTCTCAAAGAATAAAAAAGCACCGAAAATTATCGTATTAGCCTCTCTTAGTGTAAAAGTTCTCTTTCCAAATCTGCCTAAAAAAAGCTCTCTCAGAAAGCAGAGACAAAAATCTTAGAGAACTAATTGCACACTTGCGAAGTACGTTTATTTAGCTATTACAAAAACTGTCGACAGAAGTAATCAGATGAGTCAGTTACATTCTCTTCAAACCGCGGTTAATCTCCTGCAATGGCATTAACACAGATGGTCTTACAGGTAATCAATTAAGGAAGGCTTTCTCAAGTAGCCCAACCAAAAAAAAAAAGCTGTTCTGATATGACTTTTTACACAATTTCTTTGAACTTGGTTTTTGTATGATATGAGCGTTACTTCCAAAAATAGGGTGAAAGGAGTCGGCGAAGAAAATTGTGAACTGCTGGAAAATGCCAATTTATTCTGGTGTAAAAAATAAAATAAGAAGTAAAAGACAGCCGTAGAAGATATATAATTTTGTTACACTTATTACTTTGTATTATATTTTTTCTGTTACAGCTGGTAACCATAATTAACATGATTCGACAACTTTATTTTAATTCCTATTCTTCAAAGTCGCATAACATCTTCATAACAAATACACATCAAGAGACTGTAGAGAACAAAATTGATGGTTTGACAATGGGAAATGAATCAAAATGTTAAATTAAATGCTTTGCTACGTTGAACGATTTTTAACAGCCATATGTTGCTACCGCTTTTTTACCTGAGCTTGCATAGATAGAAGCACACAACCTCTAATCTTTGTGTTGTTGGTGTTATAATTGTGAAAATTTCAATTGAAGCGTTTTGTAACTCTGATTGAAGTAATTAAAGTTTAGCCTTTTATCAAATACAATGGGCCATTCTACGCCAAATTGCACAACTTTGAACCTCGACCTCTCAGATTTTTTTCATTTCTTGCCAATTTGTAGCACTTGTCACCGAATTTCAAAATTGAAAGAGTTTACCGCAAAAAATGCGCTGGCGGCAAAGTTGGACCGTTCTAAAGTGCGAAAAAAAACGCAACTCACCCTTGACATGGTCACGTTTAACAACTTATATGTCTCGCAGTTCACAACGGATATTTCTTGTTTTTAATTTATTTGAAAGCATTTCTCCTGCAGATACAGAAAGGTGGTGAATCGCTCAAATTAGCAAATCTTGTTTTAGATTAAAATAAAAACAACAATTCAAAAGAATTTTTCTCAAAAAACGACATTTTCAAATTTTA